CTTGGGTACTCATGTCCCAGGAAAAATTTGATAGTCAGCCTGTCTCTGAGGCCATTGGGAATCAGATTAGATAAGCTTAATATTTGTTTTTCTTCAGGCAGACAGATTTTTTTCTTCAGCCTTGAGACCATCTGGTCGTTCTGGTTCCGAAAAAGCCTAATTGTGGAATTTAATTTCACTGATCCGTGCTATGAGTCTCCTTCAAGGTCGAACCCACCACGCTGACGAGTCCCAGAAGCCGCAGGTGGTCTGCGATTCTCAATCGCCTCCACCTTACGGTTAAGCTCGTAAACCAAACGATTTAAAGTTCCCACAGCCAGGACCAAACCTTCACACTGACTCTGAAGCTTTTCCATGGCCAAAACTGCTCCCGCTGTCTTCTTCAAAAGTCGATAAAATAGAGCCCCGCCGGTGCCAAAAAGCAGAGTCCCTGCTATCATAAATCCAAATATGTAGTCTCAGCTGGACATGCCGGTTCTCTAGGACCTTGTCGCTTTTGGAGAACCGGAAAGAAAATGTGAAGTTAAAGGTAACATCCTTTGTCCCAAAGTCAGTTTAAGTATCATTATTATTTTGGTTACTTTATTTTTTTTTTCTTTATGAATTGATTGTAACAATTTTCACATTATTGAACAATCAAAACAGATTTTGTTTTTTAATGTAATGGCTAGGTATTAAAAAACCAAACATTTAGCCCTCCCCACTACCCATTTATGTTGCTCTTATTTTGAAATGTAACTGGAAGTTCTGTGTTAAGAGAAGCAGAAAGAGAAGGCATGGAGACGCTGCTAATGTCGAACCGAGATGCCACCGATGTTGAACCTGAGATGCCGCTAATGTAAAACCGGTTAACACCATAGACATAATATGCCTGTGGTTAACACAATCTGCCAATAACGCTGTGTTTTTAGACGTAATATGTCTGTGGTTAACGCAAATGGCTTTTTTTTTTCAGCCTTTTTTTTTTGTCCAATCAGATGTGGCCCTCCAGATACCCCCATTTTACTATCGTCCAATTAGATGTGGCCCTCCAGACATGCCCATTTTTCTATCGCCCAATCATATGTGACCCTCCAGATACGCCCATTGTTTTATCGCTCAATCACATGTGGCCCCCTAGATAAACCTTCCATTTTTGTCTGCAGAGATACCTACTTGACAGGCACCAATGACCTTCAGGCCACCGCTCCTAAAGACTGAATCTAAAATAGAGGCCCTGAACATAGCCTATTCAGATTCCATGTCCTGACCTCCCCAGGGACATGTGAAAAACTCTCCCAGAGGTGTGTTGAAAGTTGACATTCCCAGTTCACCCTCAACATAGGTTTGAGTTTACCAAGTCTGTCCAGCAGCCTCCATTGCCACCAGATCCAACTCACCACCAGGTGGTGATCAATTGACTGCTCTGCCCCTCCCTTCACCCTAGTGTCCAAGACATAGGGTTGAAGATCCAATGAACCAATTACAAAATCAATCATTGGCCTTTGATCTAACATGGCCTGGTAACAGATACACGTATGTACCACCCTATGCTTAAACATAATGTTTGTTATGGACAACCCACGCCTAGCATAGAAGTCTACTAAGAGAACACCATTCAGGTTCAGATCATGGAGGCCATTCCTTCCAATCACCCCCTTCCAGATAACTCTGTCATTGCCCATATGATCTTTGAAGTCACCCAACAGAACAAGGAAATCCCCAGATGGCACCCCTTCAGGACACCATCCAGACACTCCAGAAAAACCAGGTAATATGAACTGATGTTGAATGTCTGACAACAGTCAAAACCTTCCCTCCTGCAACCTGAAGTTGCAGAGAGGCCACCCTCTTGTTCACTGGGGAAAAACAACACTGAGGCATTCAGCCAGGGGCTTGAGAGTATCCCCACACCTGCCCAACACCTTTCTCCCTGGGCAACTCCGGAGAAGGAGAGAGTCCAGCCTCTCTCCAGAAGATGGGATCATGAGCCCAAGCTGTGCATAGAGATGAGCCCAACTATATGTAGTTGGTACCGTTCAACATCACATACAAGCTCCAGCTCCTTACCCACCAGTGAAGTAACATTCTAGGTCTCTATAACCAGTTTATGCCACCAAGAATCTGTATGACGATGGATCCCTCCTTGCCTGCCATTCGGCCGACTCTGTACCCAACTTTGATGAACCTCCTCTCAGGTGATGCGCCCACAAGGCGGTGGCTTCCTGATGATTCTTTGGACATGGCCCAGCTGAGCCCCAGAATCCAAGGGTCAATCACTAGGAACTCGCTGGCGAGCTCCTTCCTCCCAGGCCTGACTCCAAGGAGGTCCCCTGGTTTCTCTCTTCCAGGCAAGGTATCCTGATGCCTCTGTTGTTCATTTATCAAGGTTTTTGAATCTCTCTTAGTCTGACTCCTTCCCCAAGACCTGTTTGCCATGAAAGACCCTGACAGAAGTTAATGCCCCAGACAAGATAGCCCTCAGGCTCACAAGGGAGGGAACTCAGTTCCATCCACCACATTAAGGTGGTGATATGGCGGAGGGATCAATTTTAGTTTGACCCCTACTCACTGGCTTGCAGATACAGGCACAAACAGTGTCTGTCCATGTGTGTGTGTGTGTGTGTGTGCGTGCGTGCGTGCGTGCGTGTGTGAGTGTGAAGATTGAAAGTTCAAGCTTGTTTTTGTGTGATTCCATTGTTTACTAGAAATAAGTTTTTCTTTTCCAGGAAAAAAGATGTTTACACACATGTGCAGATCAGCCATTGCGTTCTCTATTGTTGAGTCAGTATGAACTCCAAAAAGGGGAACGAAGGAGAGAGAAATTAATTTCACAATTTTGGAATGCTTCCCATGGGGGAGAGACAGAAAAAGAGAGAGAGGCAAGCCGATCTGTTATTTTAACAGCTAAGGAATTATGTGTAGTTCCAGCATTTTCAGTCTTTTGTAAGTTCTGTATATGAATACCTGTGAAAAACGTTTGTGAAAATGTATCTTAAAAATATGAGCCACAAGCCATAATAAAAGTTGGTCTCAGAGCTTTCAGCTGCTGTATGCACAGTCTGTCCCATCTAAAAAATTCAAGGTTTCAAGGTTCTTTATTTGTCATTCGCACCCCATGTGGTACATGTGGTGGAACGAAATTATGTACACAGGGTCCAAATTACATCCAACAATAAAATGTAAAAGAAAAACAGTAATAAGATCTAAGATATGAACTAAGAAAAACATCAACTAAATATACACTAAGCACTAATAGCATAAAAACAATACGCCAAACAGCAGCACAAACATGAGTCTGTGTGAGCAGATGAGCACGCATGAACACATCAACATGAAACAGATCAGCAGCAACATGATGTGATTTTTCACCGTGATTATCCTGGTTAGATATTCATGAGTCTAACAGCCTCAGGGTAGAAGCTGTTCCTCAGTCTAGTGGTTCTACACTTAATGCTCCTTAACGTCCTTCCTGAGGGGAACGGGGCAAAAAGTGTGTGTGCTGGGTGAGTGAAGTCATTCATGATGCAGGTGGCCCTCTTCCTGCATCTATAGGTGTAGATGTCTGTGATGGTGGGGAGGCTGACTCCAACATCTTACCCGCTGATGTTTGTAACTCCTTCAGCGTGGTCACAGGTGTCTTTCACTATTCTTCTTCTTCAGAGTTACTCAGTTTGTGATGACGGCCTCCTCTTGGTAGATTTACACGTCTCATATTCCTTCCATTTCTTGATTATAGGTTAAACAGTACTCCTAAATGATTTGTATTTATCCTCTCACTGGTACGTTTTAATATTTTCCTGAGTTATATATGTAGAATTATTTTAAAGGGACTGAATATTTATTGCAAATGCATTTTCACAATACATATTTTTAAGTAATTAGTATTACTTTAAAAATTTGATTTCACTTTGATTTTGAAGAAGTGTTTTGTTTTTCTTTGTAAAGAAGGCTAATTTATGTTGTTGACCATTATTGATGTATGACAGCAATAGAAACATAAAACATCCAAGCAGGTAAAATACCTTTTGAAGGCACTGTACATATTTAGTAACAATATTTAGCACAATAGTGTCAAGATGAATGTTTGTGCACATCTTGGTTTGTTGCCCGTGATTTTCCACAATTACTCAATCTTGAGTCTGTTTCCTGTTAGGATTTTTGTACCATAAAAATTGTTAAAGGCTTCTGCTTTTCTTTTTCTTCTTCTTCTTTTTTTTTTTTTTTTTACATCAGATTATTGAGTTCTTATTGGCCAGCTTCTGTGACACCCCCAGCATATTCAGAAGATACACGTAATGAAGTCTGAGACTGAAAAACAAGCATTTGTGAAGTGATTTCGACTCCAGCTTCTGGTGAGTTCAGAAAGGTGAGACATGAACATAAATAAGATAAAGTTCCTCTGAGCCTCAGCTGTTCTAAACAATAAAATGTTCATTATTTACTGAAGTCATCCAGTTCAGGAAGGATCCAAAACTGATTCAAGTTTTCATTCCATTGCTTCAACATGCCTGTGATGATAAAAGTGAGTAAATCTTTGTTCACCTAAATTTTTTAAAACATCACTTATATTGTTTAATCTGAGTGTCAGTACTGAATTTATGATATAATGTAAAGTGCTATGTGTTGTCATCATTGCATGTTCCCATACAATGGCAAAATTGGCTCTCTGCATTTAGCCTATCACACCTGGGTACCCAAGTGGAGCAGTGGGTAGCTTTGTAAGTGTCTGGGGAGCAATTAGGGATTGGGTGTCTTGCTCAGAGGCACCACGTCATGTGGGGATGGCTGGGTATTGAACCTGGGACTTTCAGATCCTGAGTCGGCTGCCCTGCCTCGCTCCCATCTTGGTCCCTGACATGATTTAATTTGATTGTTTTGTTTATTGCTAGATATTTGAGGGGCATTAGCAAACTTTTTTCAGTGTGAAAAAGTAAAGTTCCACCCAATTAAATTAATTTTTTATCATGACCTTTAACATGCACAAACATTCATAGTCAATTTATAAATAATTATTACTATATACTGT